TCGCTAAAAGGGATAAGTTCTTCTTGTGTCGGAATAGGTAGCGCATTTATAACTAAATTTATTATACAATAACTGTGTGCTCTCTCATCTTGTCCAATTCAATTGAATCCGATCCGACCAGATCAGATAAGATCAATCGAGCACATGTCGAGAAGTGTTCGTGAAGAGTAGGAGAATGGAGTAAAGTAGAACACTCACATGCCGCCCAGTGGCAGGCACAGTGGTGTGTATTGTGTGCCACTGGGTTCGCTCTGAGGGGGGGCAGGCAAGGCAGGCAAGAAGAAATTTGCTTGGTTTGGTTTTTAAGGCACCATTAAAATTGCTTTTCTTACACGTATTTTTCCTTTGCAAATTTACAAGTTGTCAACAAAATGTCGTTAATAATTACATTAATTACACGCATATTAGTAAAAATGTTTGTGAAATCAGTTTGAGCTATTTCTCTTATACACACACATACACATTATTTAATTATCCCTTTCGTTATTATCATATCGTACAAATAATCCCAGTTACCCGCTGTTTACCCTTCTGTACTTCTGTAGCCCATAGCTCTCGTTTTCCTTCTTTCTTTTTTTTTTAGTGTTTTTCTTATTTTTTTTTCTTTGTAACTTGCGCAAAAAATTTACTAAATATTTCAAATACAATTAAATACAAGTGTACATAATAATAATATATTTAATTTATGTATATTTATATATAGATATATAATTTATTTATATATAGATATACGGCTTCTGTTCTGATTTCGCATTTCCGTTTCCGTTTCTCTTTCTCTTCACTCCATGCACTTCTCACCCAGTTCCATTCCAATCGGCACCGTTTCCGTTTGGGGAACCGAAGTGTTTTGGTTTCAAAAATGATTGCTTCAAATTGTTTGTCCTCAGCGAAATATATTTGTCACTAAAATCACGAAACTGTTTCGCTTGATATCGTCTGTCTATCGCCCGCCTGCTTGTTGCTCCATTTCTGATCGTCGAGTGGTTTATAATCTTCGCGGAGGGGAGTCAGCAGTTGGAGGACTTGCTTTGCCCCATTATTGTTTACAAGTGGCATGGTTTTATATTTAATACTCTTTATGCTATTAACAATTTCCTGTAATCAAGTTTTTCTCATAAGTTATCCTCTTTTGTTTTTCTCTTTTGGGTCTGTGAGTGGAAAAAACTTAAAGAAAAGGATACAAATTTAGAGTGTGTTGACAAGGGAAATCACTTTCTAATCAATTCCTCAAGTCAAAATATAGTTCTTGATATAAGATATACATATTTACTGGGGTGTTAGAGGGAAATCAAATGGGTGTGGTGTGTATATAGATTGTTGATCTGGGATATGTTTGCCTCTATATGTATGCATTGTTTGATTGAGTATTTGTTTCTGTTTGCTGGTTAATATAATTATGTTGCGGTTAAATTGGTTTTCTTTGCAGTGGATATGTTTTCTTTTATGCTTTGTTAATTTCTCTTACTAAATAATTAATTTGTAGAATAAAATTTGACACATTTTGCCATTGCGCAAACTGATTCGCTCGATTTATCGCTTTCACCTGCCGCTTTTGACACCTTTGTCACTTAATCTCTTATGTTTGTGTATGTTTAAGTGTGTGGATGTGGGTGTAGTATGCTATGTGTGGGTTAGTACAAGTAACTAAATGTGGGGTGGCTTAAAATTAGTTACCACACATGTGTGTCTTGATGATCTTTTGGTTTTCACTGCCCAGCCTATTAACTAAATTCGAATAAAATTAGTTTAATTTTGTAATTTTAACATTGAAAATCAGTTTATTTTTTTTTTATGTTTTGTTTTGTTGTTTTGCAATCGCTTTTGAATTTGCATTTGCTTTTGCTTTTGCTTTTGCTTTTGCCTTTGTTTTGTGGTTGTTGTTTTTTAGTTTTGTTTTGCGTATAAATTTAACAGCTAATAAATTAAAATTATACTTTAATTTAAGCATAATTGTAATATATAATATGTAAATCCATTGCTCGTTTTTTCCGCGCTCCAGAAAAAAGTCTTTTTAATCGCCGCAAAAGTGCTTAAAAGTTATTATTGTAATTCGAATTGTTCTTTTTCGCTAAGTTGTAGGTCTTGTAAATATGGTATTAGCATTAAGCATTTTCACTAGAAACCGAACGAAAGAAACCATAACAATTTTGGATACAGACTCGTACGAGAGAAGGTCTGGGTATCTCCAATTTCAGAGATCCCAGCCTTGGCTAGTTCGCATTTTTTCAAACTAATTTCGAATATGGGATATACATAGATAGATTGATAGATAGATATATAGATAGAACGGAACGGAACGGAACGGAACGAAAAAGAGAGGATGGGATGGGTGGGGGTGTGAAACCTAGTTAATTAGTCCATAATCATTAAAGTGTAGTTTTAGTCGTAATCAATAAACAGAATCAATTTTGCACATCAGTCTAAACATATTCAAAAATCACAAATACAATTTCGATAACAATTACCATAATAGAAATAATAAAATAATGAATTATCGTATCAATATATCGCCGTCTCTATATATAATTCATATGCATATGTATGTATACACATCTGAACAAACACAAACACAACTAACAAACGCATCGCTGCTGCTCAATTGTAGCGTATAAAACATACATACATATAATGCCTATTCAATCTGAATCATCTTTTTTTTTGTGTCTTTCAAGTCGATTGTTTGTTGGTCTGCTTGTCTCTTTCCTTTCCTATCCCTTCACTTTATGCTTAAATCTCTCTCTCTCTCTCTCTCTTCTTTCTCTCTCACTGTGTGTGTGTGTCTCTCTCTCTTGTGTTTCCGCTTGTTTGCTGTCCCGTTTTTTGGTCATGCTAATGCACAATTACTTGTAAATGGCTTAAAATTAACTGCATTCGAAATTGTTGCCTTCCTTACTTTGCTTTGCCTTTCTTTACTTTACTTTCTTACATTTGCTTTCTTCTTGTATTTGTTGTATGCTTTTTGTATGCATTGTGGTTAATTATTTTATTTTGTATTCTTGATTTTTCTTGTTTTTTTTTTGTTGTTGTTTTTAGTTTATTTTGTCTTCATTTTGACTAAGCTTAGAATTAATTGCTGTTCTGTTCTTACTTGTGCGGGGTCGTCGCCCAAACCAAGGTTGGTGAGGGGGGCGCTTCCCCGTTTGAAAACGGTTCAACATAAAAGTTCTTGTGTTTGATTTGCCTTTGCATTTAAAACTTAATCAAAAATATCATAATTAATAAGAATCAATGAATAAATATAACGCGTATGTATGGGTCGGTCTTCCTATGAGTGTGGTCCGTCTGTGGGTGTGGGTGTGGGTGAGGGTGTAAGTGTGTGAGTGTATTTATGTGAGAACTGTTCTTTTGTTTTTTCTGATTCTTTCTTGATATATTGCTTATGATTTAAGATTTGACGTTTCCTTTTCGATTGCGGCTGCTGCTCCTCTACGTCCTCCTCCTGCGATTTCCAATGGGTTTGCTTGCGGCTGTTTGTGTTGTTGTTGTTGTTGCTGCTTGATTGCTGGGTTGATTGTTGGTTGGTTGGTTGGTTGGTTGGTTGGTTTGCTGTGGTTCTTGTTGTTTGTTTCACTTAGTGAATGGGTGTTTTAACAATTGCACTGGGCGCAATATAGTGATATCCGGGTATGGGCACACCAGCAGTCTCCATTGATATCCTAGAACGCACAAAGAGATGCATTAGTAAGACTTTAATTCAACGAAATTCAAGTTAGAGGCACTTCCACCTGCCACCATATTCTATCTGAGAAGAACCCCCCTCTGGACGGACACGTACAGTAGTTATATATAGTTTTAGTATTCATTTTTCACTTTATTACAAACTCATGTATTTTCCATCATTGTTTTCTTTTTGCATATAAATAGAGTTTACTGGGGCTGCTCTCTTTCTGGTTGATCTCCCTGCATTGCGAGGAGGAGGAGCTACAGGTAAAGCTTTCTATATATGTAGCAGCTATAGAGCTGTGTGTCTATGTATGTATGTATGTTTTGTATGCATATGTTTTCGTAGTAGAAGTCAAGAATTACTATTATTACATTCAAATATAAGAGGTTGTTTTCGTGTTCGTTTCCTGTTCGTGTTCCAGTGTCTCTGAACAAACTCTGTTTAAATATTTCATATATGTATGTAAGTAGGGGATTGTATGTATGTATGTATGTATGAAGTATGATGTATATGTATAATTATGTTTTGCTTTATATATGTAATTTGGTTATAAAATCGTAAGCCCGCTTAGCTTAAGGTGTTACATATGGTGTGTCCTTTGTGTCTTACATCTACTAGTAATAGTAGTAATAATAGAAACAATAATAATAATAATATTCATATGAAAATCATACAATTAATGGTTTACGCTTACAAACTACAGTTATGTCGTGTACATTAAGGGTAGAGAAATTTCAATTTCCAAATACTTTTCAACATCAGTTTCGACCAAATTCAAAAACAGTTTTTTGTGTTTACAAATAATAACAATCGCATAAATACATAATAAATCAGGGGGGGGGGGGCAGAATAAAAATAGTGGGGTAAAACATTGAAGACTTCAAGTCTAATACATAATAACGTTTTTCTTCTCCTCATTTCACCATCATCTTTATCTTTATCTTTATCTTCAACTCAATTCTTCTCTGCTGGCTCTTCTCTGTTCTCTCTGTGTGATTTGTTCTCTATTCAAATAGTTTGGTTTTTGTACGCTCATTGCGTGGATTGTGTCAATTAGAGCGAATTGGTCCATAAAGGTCGTTGGCATCCACACCCCCCGTGCCGAGATTTGACACCGGAGGGCGGTGGCTCAACGAATTGGAATTTTTTTGTTTTGTTGACTTCTTATAGAAGGTTCTTTTCATTTCATTTTGAGTTCACTTCATTTTTCATATGCTTTCGGCTGCTGCTTCTTGACAAATGGCTTTTGGGGTCTTTATGCTTACAATCTAGATATAAGTATAGGTATGCATGGATAGGTTATAGGAGTATACATAGGTATAGGGAATTGGTTTTTGGGTGAAAATACATTGTGCTTAATAGCTAAAAAGAGTAAAATGGATTATAAGATATTGGAGCGTGTGTTATATGTTACAATGAATGGCTTTGGGGAAAAGGTTGTGGTGGCTAAACTATATTCTCGTTTCTCCTGCTCTCTCTATCGATATTCGATATAGACTCCGACTAATGTGATCTACTCGGTACTAATTATAAGTATATGCTGCGAAGAACTCTACTTGAGATGCGCTAAAATTTGGCAAATTCTATAATGTACGATATTAGTATGTTGTATGTATATATGTACTCGTATATATTAGTTTGGATCTATAAAAAGGTTTTTGGGGGAGGTTGTGAAAATCTATAACTCCCCATACAAAGGGTCAACTAGGGTCCTTGGTCACTTGGTCAGTAAATCTTGATTGGGCCGGGCCACACACAGATGATGACTCTGTCGTCCTTCTATATATTCGATTCGCGTAATATTGTTCAAGTGCTTGCTTTCCTCTCCTTTTCGATCGATTAATAAGATGTACGATAAATAGATACTATTTAGCTGCCCTAGCTGGCGTTTCTATCCTTTGTTTAGTTAAGTGTTTCGAAAACATTGATAAATATTGCATAAGTCTATCAACTACTCGGATACTGTGGCTTCAACTATATGGAAAAATTGTCTTGAAACTTCGAATACGAATACGAATGCGAATATGAATACGAATGGGGGTGTACCCTATCAATGGGTACGAATAACTAAAGCGAATTTATACATTTGTTTGTTTTTCGTTTCTTCTTGTTCAAGAACCTAAACCCTAAAGCTTTCGCAACGCTATGCATCATGCAATCATGCAAAAATCCTACAAAACTAAGCGACTATCAATCGTTGATCGGCCTCTCCCCTCCGATCCCTATCCAGGCCTGATCTGGCGGCACCTCGGGGCAGGCATCCGCCTGCTCCTAGTACGGATTAAATTTGTTGCGCTGCTTCTCCGACTCGACCCCGGTCTCGGCCTGATGCTGCCGGAACCGCGCGTAGTGTCCCTTGCCGCGATTCACGCCGGTCGTCTGCACTGGCGGTCCGCCCGGCGAGCCCCCGTTGTCGTTTCCCAGCGAGGTGAGGCTGAGCAGATCGAGGGCGCTGAGGTTGGACAGAGCGCTCAGGGCTCCTGGCTTGGTCAGCAGCTGCAGGGCCGAGGCAAGGGGACTGTTGAGTGCAGCAGCAGCAGCCACCGGATTGATCCCGGCAGCGGTGCCATTCGGGGTTCCGGTGCTGCTCTGGCTGCCATTGACGCTGGCATATGAGGCGGAGACGCTGCCATTGCTGCTGATCGAGCTGTTGCTGCCATTGGCGGCGCCTGTGGGGCTACCGTTGCTGCCTCCACCTGCTCCTGCAGCTCCTGCTGCTGCTGCCGCTGCTGCTCCTGCGGCGAGGGCCACTGTGGTCAGGGCTCCGTTGGTGGCCGCGGCGGATGTGCCGACGGAGGTCACAGCTCCGGGTACAGCTCCAGCACCCCCCACTGCAGCCGCTCCGCCGTTCTGCTGGGCCTGGGCCTGCTCCAGGAGATTGGCCTTCTGCAGCTCAACGCTGTGGATGAGGTTCGGTTAAGGTAGATAGAAAGAGAGAGAGAAAGAAAGGAACAAATTGGGATATTGTTGGTATTTGTTTTGGTTTTTGGGTGAGAGGTATTTTCAAAACAATTGGTTTATTTTTTCTTTTTCTTTTTTCGATTTTGTGGAATTGAGTTGGTTTTTTTTTAAATCTTTTTTCTTTCTTTTTTTTTGTGTTTATGCAAAAGGTTAAGGAGGTTTTGTGTGGAGGAACGGTTCGGAGTTTACGGAGAGAGAAAAAGAGCGCTGTTTTTTAAGCTTTTTTTTGAGTTGGGGGTGTTTTTGGTTTTGGTAGGAGAGCGGCGTTCAAATTTTGGATGGTAGGATTAGAAGAACATAAGTATGGTTTTTTTTTAAGTGGGAGACTTGGACCGAAAGAGTTGGTATTTTTGAGGTTTTGGAGGATGAACTGTGGTTGGGGGATTGACGGTTCGGTTTTTGATTTTTGAGGGGGGAGAGAGGTTTTTGGAGGATAATTTTGGAGTTGAACTGCAGTTTGAAGTACCAATTGGATCAGGTCGGTCCAGCATTACGAGAACGAGAGAGCATGTATCTTTTTATTTGTCTTTTTTTCTGTTGTGTAAAAAGCGTGTGCTGCGATGCGTAGATTGATTCGAGCTGATGCTGAGTTGCTGGCTGGGCCTCATCACATTTCGACCTTGATCATCCTCCTCCTCGGCTCTGGCTCTGGCTCTGGCTCTGGCTGGGGGCCTGCTGAACTGTTATATTATACATGGTTTTTTGTGTGTGTTGTTTGGTTGGTTATACTATATATATATTGTACGAGTATCAGTTATACAGTTTGTTATACAAATCGTTATGCTAGAGTTCGGTGGAGATCTATGATCTAGGGTGGCAAGTGCTGGACATGAGGCTTCGCAGGGCTTACGACTTATAGACTACGACATGTGTGTTGTGGCTTAAGCTATGGTTATGCTAACCTTTGACCTCCCCCCTCCCCCACCCAAGCCTCGACATCCGTTGAAACCCCACAGATTTGAACGAGCCGCCACTCCACTCCACTTCACGACCGATAGAGAGAGAGAGAGAGAGAGAGAGAGCTACCATGGACCGGTTACCGGTTACCGATGACCGATGACCGACGACCTCCTTATACCTTACATACTTTTTTGGTCAATTAGCAAATCAATTCGACAAAATTGATATTGACACACAGACACACACGCATAAGAATAAACATAAAGGCAAACAAAGACATACACACAGATGGTACAGTACAGTACAGTACAAAAGGATATGGCAGCACAGGGGCTCATCGACACTCACCTCATATTGATTAAGTATTGGGCCAGGGCCACCGAATCCGGATTGCCACTAATGGTTATAGTGCGGTCGGTATTGCCGCCCTCGCGCTCCTCACAATTGGAGATCCTGATCATGGCGCCGGATATCTGGCGGATTTCGGCAATCTTGGTGCCACCCTTGCCGATGATGCAACCGATCAGATCATTGGATACGGTCATCTCGTGCTGCTGCTGTTGGGCGCGGTTGGCGGCGTTGGCTGTACGCAGTTGCGACCCGGCCAGTGCAGCCAGGGCTGCTGGGGCAGAGCCTAGATTAGATTGGAAATCTGCCTGGCCTCTGATCGATGAAGCGCTCAACTCACCTGTGTGGTTGATGCCCCCAGTGCTGGCTGGGTTCATGCCAGCCAGGCCCAGGGCAGCCAGACTGGCCAACGGGTTCTTGGCCACCTGCTTAAAATAAATAACAAAAAAAAAAAAAACGGGGAGGAAAAGGAACATAGACGAAGAGCATCGATTAATGTGGATTCCATAATTCGTTTTAGGGTTAAATCTTATATTCAGGGGCTTTATTGGTTATAATGTGTGTGTGTGTGTGTGTGTGTGTGTGTGTGGGTGTAAGTGTGTATAATATATATTCTTGAGGGGGGGGCTGTGGGTTCTGTTTCGTGGGTAGATCGGTTGGAAGGGAGAGAGAGTTCACAACACAACGCGCGCAACAACTTTCAATAACAGTTAACAAAAGGGAACAAAGGAAAATGAAACTGAAACTTAGAAGCGGAAACGTTTTGGGAACGGAACGTAAAAAGCATTTAACAAAAACAACAACAACAGAAAGCAATAAGCAAAAGCAAAAAGAAATAATCATTTTTGACTCTTTTTTACATTTTTACACATTGTGTGGATAGGTGTGTGGAATATGTTTTCGTATATATTGTATTATGTAGTAAGTTTCATGGAATAATGTTTCTCTGGCACATGGACTCTACGCAAGAATTTACAAGTAACAAGTTTAGCTTACAAAAATTAAGGATACATACAGAGAGCGGAACAGAGAGAAAGAAATGGTTGGAAAAGCAACTATGTTCAGACATTTTTTGGATATACAATGGATATACACCTCATTCATATGTATGCATAGTAAATGTAAATGTAAATGGGAAGAGGGATGCTGTTTCGCCTTGAGACCTATAAATATTCTTCGCAATCTGTTTTTTTATGTGTACATTTCCCCTGGATCTGGAGCATCCTCAAGCTCTCCTATGCATGGCAATGGGAATGTGGGTTCTACTCATATTTTTCTCTTTTTTTCCACCACTGACACCTACAGCAAATAACATATACATATGTAACTTGCAAACAACAAACAAACTCAGAGAGAGAGAGAGAGAGAGGGACCCGCCGCGTGCATGATAAATAGTTATACAAATACATATAAAGCTTTCCACACGACACACATGTGGCAGGAAGGGTGCGAGAACGAATGTAGAAGGGCGGACTCTGGGGCTGGCAGGGCACTGGGATATGCACGCGCTTTATAAATTAATCAAATCAAATGCGAACACTTGCGAATAAGTTTCGAATAAATGCATCCACAAGCAGCTCTCAAATCGAGTAGAGCGGCAGTTGGGAGGGGGGATGGGTCTGGTGCTGGGAAAACTAGAACTAAGAGAAAATCTCATATAAATCATACAATATTGAAATTGCTTTGTGCAGGAATGGTGCATGGCTGTCTGTGTCAGTGTCTGTGTGTGTGTGTGTGTGTGTGTGTGTGTGTGTGTGTGTTTGTGTGCTGTGTGTCAGAGCTTAGAAAACTTGAACTGAAATATTTATCAAAATGCAATTCGAAATTCCCCAAATGAAACAAAACATGCGGCATGGAAATATTTTATGACCCAAAAATGAATTGCAACTCAATCAAAAAAGTTCAGTGCGAGACACATGACGGGCAACGGGTAACGGGGGGGCAGTGTGTGGAAGGGTCTACCAACAATGGATTATCTGGCAGAAAACTGTCATAAAAACTTCTTCGACTGTGTGTGTTGCCGGTGTGATTGTGTGTGTGTGTTGGAATATTAACAAACATTTGCGACTTTACACACTCAGTACAACAGCTAGACAGGAAAACAAGTTGAAAAATTTCACGAAAACTACAAGAAACTAGAAAGGACAGTTTGGGGCAGGAGAGCGCAGAGAGCAGTGGAGTGGTTGTAGTGGAAAAGGGGTTTACGACAGTAAAAATGCATTTGTTGATGACTTTTGTGGATGGGGATGACGATTCTGTATACCGTGTGGCCTTCCATGTCCCTCTGTTGCCTGATTTTTAGTGTCGCTGCTGGCCACTGGCAACTTTGTGGCCGAGCCAACGGCGGCGGCGGCGAGACATGGGACATGGGACATGGGACACGGGACACGGGACACTCGTGTGCTGGTCCCAATGCTAATGTTATTGAAATAACGTCGCAACGCTATGCTACTGGCGGGAAGTGGGGGATCATAAAAGAAGTGCCAAAGGTAGTAAAGATGGTACACAACACACAAACTACTGAAACTTTAACGGTTGGGGGTGGGTTGGACTAGGGGAACGGGACAACAGCAATGTACAACTATCTAGGGATTCATACAGAGAGGTTTCTCATACAGGCAGGGCAGGGTGTATATATTTTGGGGTACAGAAAGATACAGGAGGGTTCAGGTACAGCGGTACAGCAACATCATGCTCTGTCTGGGCGGGGGGTGGATTCGATTACAAGGGTTGAAGGGGAGATTTCGATTATATAGCAGTTTGTTTCTTTGATAGAGATTTTTTTTGGTAGAGTTGTTTGGAGTTGGAATTGGAGATTCATTTTTTGTCGTTGTTGGTTTGGTTCGACAGTTCTTTAACCATTGCGGAATTCGGAGGAGGAGGATGATATCTAAAAACTCACATCGGGCATTTGCTGTAGGTGATGGTGGTGTGCTGGTACCGCTCCTTGTAAATGTGCCCCCTTTAATAAAGGATCCGCTAAGCCTGAAATACCAGCATGTAGGCCGCCGGTAGCCAGGGCAAGTGGAAATACTGGACAGGTCTACGTTTTTATTTTGTTTTGTTTTGTATTTGTATTCGAATTCATTCGATTGTGTGTTTGCGTGTGTGTGTTTGTGTGTGCGGAGTTACAGTAATTTCGTTCGGTTGAAAATATTTTGCCAAAGAAGAAAGAAAAGTAGAAGAACGAAAGTTGTATACCACAAATAAATGCATTGCAACAATTTGATTAAATCTTAACGCTTGTAATTTGCTATTATGGAGAGATTTTTAAGCTTATCAAATACATAGAAATATCGCTGGAGAAACTTGGAAAAAGCTTTCGAAACGTATGTGTGTGTGTGTGTGTGTGTGTTTGTGTGTGCAAAGGGAGGGCTGGCGGTCAGATCGGGGGGGGGCAGGCTTCGAGGAGAAACGCTCAACAGAACAAATTATAGTCGGGGGCGAAAGAATAACAATTACAAATGAAGTCTAAGAGAGAGCGAGAGAGAGAGGAGAGAGTAACGGAGAGCGAGGTGGGCAACTAGTGGTCCAGAGGGATTCCAAGGGTAGAGATATTAGAGAACAAATGTGCGACTGATGCCAAAAAGGTTAGCGAAGGTGAAAGTAAAATTTGCCAATAATTTCGGGTACAGTTTAACAATTTTTTTGTGGTGCCCAACACTTGTATTCTGTGCATTTTTGCAACACTGAACCACTTTTCAAACTGTACCCAAATGACCACCAATGGGACGTGTTGTCGGGGATTTTTACACACTGCACTCCACCGCTTTGGGCCAACAAAATGGTAAACCAACACCAACAATAAGACCAGGAAGAGACACAGATTGAGGGAGATAGAGAGCGAGAGGGGTTAAAGGGGAGAGAGATGGGTTCTACATAAAACTTGTTGTTTATTTATTACATTCCTGGACATTAATTGAATTTGATGTGACAACAACAAAAGTTTTTAGGTTTGTTTTTAGTTGTGAGGAAAAGTTGTTCATATTTGCTGTTGTTTTTGCTGAAGGGACAATGGACAGAGGACGACTGTACTGCACGGAACGTAATGGAATGACACAGAAGTATACTGTGAACTGGCACTGGGCGCAAGGGAGGCTCTGTTGTTGTTTTTGTTGTAGCACAAAATTGAATTTTGCGGGAATTTTAACAGAGTTATAAACAATACTTATTGATACGGAAATAGAGAGAGAGTGGAGAGAGAGTGGAGAGAGAGAGAGAGAGAGAATAGATAGAGAGACAGTGAGAGATGTGTGAGGAGGGCTCGGGCAGGACGAATATTTGAACAGTATGTTGTGGCCGTAGTTGTAGTTGTAGTTGCTAATGGCATCGTTGTATGCATAGACACGAGTGTACTCTATGTAGTATTCGACGATTTGTTGTTTTTTGGCTGGACAAAATGTATCTAAATAAAGGCTGGGCTGGACTGGACTGCTTCTGTCGTGTTTTTTTTTTTTTGGTTTGCGAAACTTTTGGCAAAAGGAAACTAAATAATTGCAAAATGTCTGTACTACACAGAAAATTAAGAGATCGATAAAACGCAGGATATTGTATATATACGGACAGAAAGAGAGACGGGGTTTGTTTTTGCGGGGGTTATAAAATAATTAGATTCGGTTTTACTATTATTTATTGAATTATTTATCTCGATAGAGCGAAATCTGATATTTGTTGTCGTTTGTTGTTGTTGTGTGGTTTAATTGGATAATTATGATAGATATAGATGGTGTTTGAGTGGTTGATTGATAGATAGATAGAGTTGGTTGGTTGGTTGTTTGGTTGTTTGGTTGGTGTTGGACTAGTGTAGTTTTTGAACATACTTCTCCACACACGCTGCCAGCGAGCCCTCGTCAGAACAGAACTTAGAGACACACACAGAGATACAGATTCAGAGCGAGAGAGAGAGAGAGAGTTGGAGGAGAGAGCCGAGACAGAGCTGATACAGAGATTCAGAGACAGAGAGAGAGTTCCAGCCCCCGCTCCCCGAGAGCCTTTTCTTTCTTTCTTTCACACAAAACTCACTCGCGCCTCGACTCGACTCGCCTCGCCTTGGACAAAGTCTCCTCCCCCGATATTCTTTTTTCTCAGATTTTCGGGGATTTCTTTACTATTTCCCACACGACGACGACCGACTGTCGAAGTGAGACAGAGACAGATGCTGGCAGAGAGAGCCACAGAGGAGGCTCACTTGCTCGCTCTTTTAACCTGAGAGAAGAGAGTGCAAAAGAAACTAAAAACAAAACGAAAAAGAAATACATATTTTAAAGTTTATTTCAAAAAATTGTTTCGTTAAGTTTAGTTTTTCGTTGAGTCTTGATGGCTGTAAAATCGGTTAACACATTAGTTCATTTGATCGTGGTGGGGTGTCGGCGGGGGTGTCAAAGGGTCACCACTTGGACTGGACTTGGACTTGGATATAAAGTAGATGAATAATCTCTTGGGTACGATGTGGGGGGATGGGCTTTGAACGGGATAAACAACTATGGCTGGGGGTTAAGAGGGTCGATCAAAATAGGGGCACACAAGTCAGAGGTTCGGTTCGGTTCGGTTCGGTTCGGTACGGTATGGGGAGGTCTTCTCCCAAGAGATACAGATAGAAAGAGAGTTTCTTCAAGTAAAGACAGAGAGACAGAGAAAGAGAGAAGCTGGAGGTTTGCAAATCATAAAAGGGTTCAGTGGGGTTCAGTTCGGTTCTACAGAGTGACGAGCATTGGGGGATAGTGAGAAAAAGTAAGAGAGACAGAGAGAAAACTAAAGAGTTATTAAAAGGCAAATATAACAGAAAGATTGTGTGTATGTGTGTGTGTGCGTGTGTGTGTGTAGAACGCGCAGAAACCAAATAAATAGAGAGAGAAAGAGAGACAGGTCTGGGGGGGTCTAGGGCTAATAGATACAACATTTGTTTAGCTGGTGTTCCATGTGAGGGTCAAGGGTCTGGGGGTCTGGGGGTCTGGGGGTCGGTTAAGATAGAGAGAGATACACAGACAGATATAGCGAGACAGATAGAGAGAGAGAGAAATAGATAGCTGGCGATAGAGTGTGAGTTTACACAACACTGTTCATAGTCTAACAACACTGTTTTGTTGCGGTGTTGCCTAGCGCCATGAAGACATACCTCTTGTGTGGGCACTGCATAGTTGCCTTGAATAGTAAAGGCCTGTCCATTGGCCAATATAACAGGGCCAGTTACTTGCGGTTTTGGTCGATACGGTATGGTGGCACCGCGTGGCGGGGACTGTAAATAATTAAATGTTGGGAGGGAAACGAGTGATTAGTTTATGATTTTCTTTAGATACTCCAGATAGCACTCACCTCCAACATGACAAGACATATCTGATAGATGCACTGGGTGATCTGCTCGGCACTGCCGCTCAAGGTAACCGCTCGCTCTGTGGAGTTGGGCAGCATTTCACTGGCCACCTGTATGGAGCAGCCCGTGGTCTGGCGTATCTCCTTGATCTTTGAGCCACTCTTGCCTGTTGCCGGATGAAACATTGATGAGATATATCCACTGGTTCTGGTTGGAAGTATCTCAAGCTTTCCCACTTACCAATTAACGATCCACATTGACTGGCGGGCACAATCAATCGTATGGGTATTTGAGTTTTGCCAATTTTGCCTGCATCATTGAACTGCGAGCACCACTAAAACGGGTCAGAAGTTAGTAATGTGAAGGGACTCAATGTTGGCTCTAACTGTCTCTGTTTCTGCTTGCTTTTGCAGTTTTAGCGCACACATACCTCTTCGAATTTCTTCGTGATGAGCGTAAATGCCGAAAAGATTGCATTAGTTGTACCAGACACAGTCACAATACGTTCCGGGCATGACCCATCCGATATATTAATTTTGGCACCAGACTGTGAATAAAAATACAAATACATTTAGCCATCGGATTTTCAACTTTTAGATTGATGGCAGACTCACCTCTTCACGAAATCTGTTGACAATTTCACCCTTTTTACCAATAATACTACCAACTTCCTGCAAATAAACAAAAGGCAAAAGCTTATGTAGTTGAATATCTCTAAAAAGCAAAAGAATCCCCATTCCCCATTCCCCGCCCCATTCTCTTTTTCAGTCACAGATACATTCAAAAGCACTTTATTGTGTCTCGTTTTATTATGTTTTCTTCACTGTCAGCCACTGTCAGCGACGATGCTCAAATTTGATTAAATATTAAGTGATATTATGCTGGCGCACACACAAAGGAAGGGAAGGACACGCACACACACTCACTCACAGCTATCCATCCATCCATGCGAGTGAGTAACTACTTTTGCATACTTAATTGCCACAAAAAGCAATCCCCACCCACTACCCAAGCCTACCAACTGTGGGCCACCAGAAAAAAGCCCAAACTCGATCCCATTTCCCTTTCAGCCAGTCAATCAGTCGGTCGTCTGTCCCTCTGTCCGTCAGTCTGTCTGTCTGCGGGAGATCATGAGAGTGGCAGTGGAAGTGGCAGTGTGCTCGACGCGACTCTCGTACAGCACGTAATGAAATTTGCGGCCAGCGCATTTTACGCGTTTTAATTGATTGTAAATATCTGCACTGCCTCACACACACACAGCTCTCTCGTAGCCGAGTTTGCAGCGTGCCAGAAACCAGAGTATCACAGCGGAAAATGGGAGTGCCCGTTGGTTTTTGTCCAACAATTGAACCCTCCACCGCCCTCCACCCTCTCCTCTTTTGGGGCTCAATAAATCAATCATTTTTAATAAGCACTATTATTGTACATCAATCGTAATGTGGTGTGGTCCATTTCGCATGGCAGTTGACAGCTTTCAAAAGTGGTTTCCACTTGCATAAAAGCGTGAAAGAGATTTACTAACGGGGGGACAGGACAGCCCCAACATCCATCTGCACTTCATGTTTTAAACCTAAATGGACATGTCCTTGGTGATCCGAGATTTATTTTTAGACAACTTGGACCGGCCACAATACAGAATGTGGGTGGCAAAAGGCTCCACAAAATAGTGCTGATAAAATGTCTTCGCGATGGAGGCGGCTCTGGTCTGAGAATTCAATAACAAGAAACACACAATAAATAAACGGCCGTGACTCGAGTCAGAGATTGTTTAAAAAGGCACACAAACCGTGACTCTAATGAGGATCGGGACTGAGAATGACATTAATACTAGAGAAATGTTTGGTATCAAAGATATGTAGAATGGAGACGAACCTTTATTTGGCTAACAAACTGATATTTAACCTTTTACTAAACCAGATTTAAGTTATACTTCAAGCCATTCCCCTTGAGTTTTTCATTTAATGTCTTCTTTATCTGTTAGCATCTAAACATTTCAACATCTCTGGGACTAAGGGTAATATTGATTTGCACGCTAAAATGCTCCTCTGGCCGTAAACCCTCACAGAAACACCAAAAAGTGCAGCAATCCATTGTGCTAGTATGTACAATGTAAAATGTATTATGTATTTTTTTTTGTTCAGCTATGGGCACTTTGCCAGATAAAATGCACAACTATGCTCTGGCATGCTGGGGAAGGAATTGTGCGAGGGAAGTCAGTTGCATCCTCCTTCCTCCCTTACTCTGGCATTATCCCAATTCTTCTGCGCCTTTTCGACGAAAATATTTATGCCTATGCCATGGATATTTATTGTACACAAATGTCAGAGCGAATTGGCATAATTATTGCCGCAATTAACGTTGAAACCAAAACGAACGAGATTCTGAGTCTCAGTCTCCTATGAGTTTTTACGCCTGTCTGCACTCTCAGACAAATTTCGATGCTCTCTGGGTAATTTATAGTACAAGTTTGCTACTGCCCATCTGTATCTGTTTCTGTTTCTGTTTCTGTAACGGTTTGAAATGTATGAGTGTGGCCTAGAGACGACGCACAATACACCGCCAATTCCCATTTGCATTCCCCTTCAGCTTCAGCTTCATCTTTAGCTTGATGGCTGTTGGCATGGCCCCATCATCAGCGCCTCATCATCATTAATAATGTGGCCAAAGTCTGTGCACCTTACCCTCTCCACATATCTATTCAATTATCCCCATTCTATGGCCAGAGCCAGTTCGGTTCTGAAGTTAAAGAAATTTGCATAAATCGGATCCGCCTGACATCGTTTGGTCTCTCCCTCACCGCGCTCTCTCCGTTATCTTCAATCATTACATTGCATAGGGGAACATTTCGGTGACTTTCACTTGATTGATTCACTTGATGCAGACACCTAGCCATTTTCTGGACCAACAATTAAATGCTTCTCATTCTGCAGCAACAATGAACAAACGCATTTTGCATTCTCCAATTACCAAAAATCACTCTGTGGTCAGAGAGCCGGAGAGGCTGTGAAGCATTTTAGCCAGCCTTTTGCTAAATGTTTTTGGCTTTTGCTTACAGTAGGGATTCGGATTCGGATTCGGATTCGAATACCGATTGCGAATCGATTTGGCTGGCGGGTGGGAGGAGCTTTTCGTGCTTAAAATATGCATAGGAAAAGTTGACATTCCGCCCAAACACACAGCGACACAGCGACACAGCAGAGCGCAGCAGGAAAGGCAAAAACTGTTTGAAAATGCAGGTTGGCATTGGACATTCCATGTGGTCCACAGTCCGTTGCGGTACGGCAGGGAATAAGTTTACGATTGTCCATTTTGCGTTTTCCATTTTACCCCATTTTTATTGATTTTGCCAGGGGATTGTGAGATTAGGGGCCAAGCGATTGGGTTCCCTCAGCTAACACTAAACGGGGTTTACAGGTTGTGGAGGAAATAAAAGAGAGCTCACAGGTACAGAGCAGTCCAACTAGAAGCACTCTCGCACACGATGCGTTCAGTGTTAAAGATGCCCATAAGCAAGAGAAATTAATACTGATTGAAAAGATGGAAAATGAGGCAGAGAACATCTTGCAACTACTGGAACTACTTTTTCTCTGGTTGTAGATCTAGAATCATATCATTAGCCAATCATTATAAATACCATCAGCTTTTCTCATAATAATCCCCAGTATTCCCTGTTTTTTTTTTTTTTTCGTTTTCCCACACAATTTGCAGTCAAGCTCAAGATTTTGGATAGCTCCATTTATCACTCTGGTGGGGCACAGCGGAGGGGTTGGTTTTTTTTGACAAACAATAACAGAAAAGGCATTAAACCTAAGGCCCACCAGAATGGACAACGAACGCTAATTGTGGAGGCCACAAAAGAGACACCGGGAGTAAGAACAGAGAATCAGCGAACCAGCGGGGGGAGGCCAAAGAGACAGAGGAAAGATACGAGTAGCTTTTGGTGTTAGTAGAGCAGACATTAAAGAAGAAAAAGAATGCAAAGAAAGGGGGAAATACACAGAGAAAGAATGGAGAAACGAAATGACAAGCAAACGGCTTTCGAGCTTTACACCACCCCAGACGAAAGACAGCTCCGTGGAGCATGACTCGTTTTTCACAGCTTTTTGTTGATTGTTGTTGTAATTGTAATGTTTTTAATGTGTGGCGGCGTTGAAAATTGTACAAAACTAAATAAATTGCACCAACAATGAACAAACAACAGCAACAGCAACCACAGCAATCTCTGACGGCGATTGCAAAACCGTGAGAACCATTTATGGGAGCTGCCGCATGTTGCAAAGGAAAAATGCAAGAAAAACTTGCAACAAATGTTGGAAAATGCAATGTGACAAAAGGGGGAGTTGTCGGGGGGGGGGAGCCAACCCGAACACATATGGCCTGATGTGGCACACATGTGCAGCCCCGTGCACCTCCCCCCCAACTCCATCCGATAAATCATGCAGCGCATTTTGTCGCCCTGTACATTTTTTGCTGCCACTGCCGCTGCAGTTTCTGCTCCTGGCAGGCGAAAACAAAAAATCGTACAATTAAATAATTTACAATTTTCCAGGGCCAAATGCAGGAGCGGGGACACACACACGCAGCTAGTGGCAAATTTTTAATTAAATTAAATAACAACAGAAACAGAAACAGAAACAAGAAGAGGAGAGCCAGTCAGCAACATGAAAGGGAAACTGCTGCAGTGACATCCATCAACAGGCAGTGGAAAGGAGATTTGCCATTCCAGTGGGACAAATGGGAGACACAATGCCACCCTGAATAATGATGGGTGTATTTCGTATTTCTAAACTTAATCTACACTCAAGTCCTAGTGGCAGATGCTGCCTGCGAAATTATAAACGTGCATCCAACTACTTTTAAAACTTAATAGAATCCATGGGACGAACTACAGGCCCCACGTCCAAGCGTTTGCGTTACAAAACTTACACAGCCTTGCTCTCCATTTGAAAAATAGTTAAATTAGTCAAAAATTAAACAAGTGCTTGGGAAATGTGGCAGACTGTGCTGAAAATTCGCATAAAGGTGACTTCGCTTCCTTCTCTTCTCTCCACTCTGTCGCATGTCCCTTGTCCCCCGTCGTAGCGCAATTTCACTAATTAAAAATGCATGATTCAAAAATACAGCACCAACAATTGCAAATGCAATTGCAACTGCAACTGCAACTGCAACAAATACAAATATCTGTGTGTCTGCCACGGACAATTCTGGGCGAGAGAGCAACCCACATTTTCGGTTTCGTTTCTTTTCAATGCAATTTGCGGATGGCTGCCAAGAAAAACAAACGGAACAAACGGAGCAAAAAGGTAGAAAAAAAGACAACAACAAAAAGGTGTTTTTTTCCACTATGTCGCTGCACTCCAATGCATGACTGCAAAAATGGTTTTTCTTCTATTTCTATTTCATTTTATTGTTGTTTTTTTAGATATATATATTTTTCCATAAATTAATTAACTGCATCACGACTTTGGTCGCGTCTGAGTCTCCGTCTACGACTGTGCCTCTGCCGCTGACTCAGGCTCCAGCGCTCTCAGTCTCCGATTTCGATTGCAAGCGACTGTGACTTTCACAGAGCACTGCAACAATTGCACTCGGGGCCCTAATGAGCCAAAGTTAATTAGAGAGACGCAGAAATATCAAAAAATACTTGAAAAACAATGGAAACTCTGGCATGGAGTGCCCTTGACATGCACCCCGTATGAGAGGGATCCAATCCCAGCCACTCCTCCTCTGCCTGGTTCTTTGTCTCTTCTGCAGCTCGTTGTTATATTTGTATCTGTATCTTTATCTGGCTGGGAGATTTGTTTGGTTGTTCCTTCTCTTTCAACAAATAATTGCAACATTGATTGGATTGAGAATTTATGACTACAGTTGAGTGCAGGAGGGGGCGGCGGCCTCTGATCCGCGATTCTTTTGGCAGATACTAGGAGTAAGGCCATCGTGGCTCAAAGGTTTTCGTCAATAATTAAATATTGAGAAATAACTGAACATAATTCAAGGAATGTTTTCTAGTTCTATAAATCTCTGCCCAGCTTGCATATTCGAAAATGGCACTAAACAAAATATTACAATTATCTGTCCTACTACGTAGGACTACTAAAACGTATAATTTGTATAAATATATTCTAATTGTCAATAAATCTTTACAGATCCCAGCGTCACTTTGATTATTAGCTGACCCCAAACCTATCCCAACTATCAGATAAGTCACTCTCTATATCTCTCTCCTCTAACCGCCCGAACCTACCTCAAAATCTAGTCTCACAATTCCAAGTTCCACAATTAAAGACAGGCGCAACGCGGATATATGTATACCCAGAACGAGTCTCCCATCTCTCATTCAATTTCTGTATAATGCCAAATCGGTTGACATTATTTAGCTGCTGCTGCTGCTGCTGCTGTTGGTATATTTTCCTGTTTTGTCACTTGATTTGCATTGCGCCTCAAATTTATTCACAACACACAGTGGGGGGTGTCGGTTCGCCAAAGCCGCATAAATCATGCTAATCTATAACTATCGATCAAAAATGAAGGGGACAGAGAATTTATTGCCCGAATCCTTGAGTGGTGCTGCACAAGGGGCACCACAAAGGAATATGAAAATGAAGAAAATCTCAGAGAAAATGTGCCGAATTTACATTTACAAAATGTAAATACATATGTACATTTACATATACATTAATATCACACATATGTGTACATATTTATTTATTGTTGTGTGTAGTTGTTGTGTAGTGTAAAGGAGGGATTTACCAGGTAGAGCTGATTTCAGATGTTGGCTTCTTTCTTTGTCTACTGCTTTGGCCCGCGGGCTGTCTGCCTTCTATTTTCGCCATAAATTGTTGCGTCTGGGGAGCATATTTCTCTGCCTTTTTGCCAATTTTTGGCTACACGTCATGTAAAGTGTTCCCCCTCCTACCCTTTGGATGCATTGGTCTGTCGCCTTATCTTCTGCACCTGTCGCCTGCCTTTCACACACACCACGCCACAGCAGCACCAGCAGCAGCAGAACCAGATTAAAAATAAATATCAAGCCAAAAATGTATAATTAAATCGATGCCTGCTGCCTGCAGCCTGCCTGGGCATCGAAATCTGGCTGGGAATCAGCTTTACAGCATTTCAGCTTTTCGGATTTCGGCTTTAGCTGTAAACGGAGAATAAGGCTAACAGATAAATGACAGCTCCAACACGTGCCCATCCTCAGCGCCCCCCGCCCCCGCCCTCCTCTCTCTCTCTTTAATGTATCTCAAGTGGCAAGCCTCTCCATCTTCTCATCTCATCTCATCTCATCTCTCAACTAACAACGACCACAACGATACGACGACTTTACGCTTTGAATTTGCGTGACAGCTTTTTTGTTGGTGCTGCTTCTGCTGTTGGTGGTGGCTAACGTTGTTGAATAATAGTTTTTAATGGCTTTTGACTGTTATTAAATAAATAAGCAGCTATTTAGTGTCGGTTTGTGTCCCCCCTCCACTCCTCTGGCTTTTGCTTAACGCAGCTTTTAGCTTGAATGCTTTTGTGTTTATGAATCAGTGAAACCCAAGCAGGTAAGAGACATGTGGCGGCAGAAGCTGCAGTTTAATGTGAAACGATACGATAACTACGGTCCAGAGATATCATTAATATCAACATTAAGCTGTACTAGACAACCGGTGGCATCTATGGGGGTACAGCCCCTCCACCTAAGCGGTTTTAAATCCGATGCAAGTTAATCATGGCCAGAATTTGCTATTTAATGGGAAGGTTTTTACCATTTAATGTACTGAGTGCACTTTGTTAGTCTTTGTTGTCTGTTGAGAAAGTATGTTGGTTTAGTTTAACATTTATATATTTTGCATTTCATAGCCCCAACACTTTTCTTCCATCTGTTGCTATGACACTTTCCTTTTGAGTACCAGATGCTCTAGGGATCGTCCTGAACCACACAGACCACAATTTTCGCAACGTTTTGATTGAATCAGAATCAACGACAACAAAAAGCATTTGTTTGTGGGGGCTGGTTGGGAATTTAATCGAGAGTAAGTTGTTTTTGGTTTGAAATTCGTGTTTGAAAACGATTTTTGCCTTTGGCTTGTTCTTGTCGATGTTTGCATTGGGTGAAAATTGCTGGGAAAAACAACATTTCATTCGATTGAAGTGCGCACACACACACACACACACACATGCGCACACAAAGCTCCTGTCTACAATTTGTGGTTCATTTTAACGAACAGGCAAACATTTTAATATTTAATTTTTAATATTAAGTATTTTTTCGACTGGTTTGACCCGTTGTGTGCCGCAGGCCTCTGTTTTTTTTTTTTTTTGTGTATTCAAGGAGATCCCCTCAATACAATTTGTATTATTTATATTTCATTTCTTGTGCAATACTTTTGTTGCCATGGCAACAATTTGTACATGGATGCATTTTATTTTTATCACTAATATCTGGCGGAGCCGTAACGATTGTTTAATAGCCCGATGCCTTGCTCCGCCTCCTGTTTGCTTGTTTATGGCCTTTATATTTGTACCTATATATAGTACATATTACTTTATTGGGCCTCTGGGTCTCTCCCTCACTTTGAATTTCCTTTAAATGCAACGCCATAATGCGTGACGTGGCGCGTAGTTAATTTAAATTTGCATACAAAATGCACGCCGCGCCATTGTTTTACCATTGTTTGCTCTCTCTCTCTCCCTCTCTCTCTCCTTTGTGTGTATTGCTGTCCGCTTTGCTCACGGCCTCTCTTCCCTCTCTTCACTTATTGATTTGTGCTCAAAAAAAAGGTAAATGAGGGAAAAAGCAAAGCCCATAAATATTTAAGATGTGACACAGAACCCAATGGTGTGCACAAAAGCGTTTATATTTTAATAGGCAAACGGCAATCCGAAGGGGAGAGAATGTTGCCAAAGGGAAAGAGAATGCGAAATGCGAAATGCGAAATGCCAGTTGTCAAGACTATTCCTCCCTTTCCGTGTCAGGGAATGATTTTTCCTATTCGGTATGCAAATCTAATGAAAGCATCATCTCGCATTTCAACTTAATCTGAGAGTAACTCTGTACCTTATATCTGGTATGCGCGTTTCTTCTTACCTTTCCTTGCATAATCAGCCTTATTGTGAGTGTCACCGATGGGTCCTCGTGCTTGATGGACGTACCGCCCGCACTGCTGCTTGTGTTATTGTCCTCCATGGTATCTATCTTGAAGCCTTTCTGTGTCTCCTCTTGCGTTCAAATATCTGTATGTGATTATCGGACCACCGATCTTTTAGCGGTCTCTTATCTGTTGGTAGTTTGTCTTTTCTGGCGAAGAGGCGGCCTTGGTGTTGTTGTTGTTTTGTTCTTGTAAATATATGTTCATATATGATGATCAATATGTACACTAAACATATAGATATTTTGGCTAATTTCTTGCGGTATTATCTTTATCTTTACTTCAAAATTAGATTGGTGGTGTCTTTTGCTACTCGTACTACGTTTTTGTTGTTGTTTTTTATGTTGCTGCTATTTTGTTCTTGTTCTTTTTTGTTGTATCTGGCTTAAGCTCGCTCTCTCCTTTCCTCCGTTTGTCCAAAAAATGCAACAAATAATCACGGCTAAGATTTCTGTATTTGTATCTCTGAAGTGTGAAGAGTGCAGGGTATTTATATTTATTTTAGTGTTGAGCAAAAATACTGTCGCTTAGCTGCACGCATTTAGAATTCCGTCCCTGTAAATAAAAGAAAACCACAATTAGTAGGCGATAAATCATTTTCCATATTCGTTTTGAAATGCTAATTTTGCACTTAAACATTTTTGGCAATTTGACATTTTTCCCCCAGATAAATCGTGAAATTAGCCAAAGCTATTTCCGTGCACTCATTTAATCAAATTTTCGGTGTTCAGGGGGCAGGGGAGAGTTTACTGCAGCCGCGCACTGGTGCAACCAGAAGGCAGGAAGAGGAAACCCCAAAATAGCAAAAGCGCAAAAGCCCGACAAGAGGTGACCCACTCAAAGGGACACGCAGCTTAAAGGTGACCACGAGGAGAAACAGGACATCCGACAACCAGACTGCCAAGGGAAACCCAAAGCAATAAAACCAATCCAGCAAAGGGAAGACGAACCTCAACCAAAACAACGAAATAAACATAAAATACCACGTGGATGGGACTTTGCATCTTTCTCTGCCCAGTCCCTGTCCCTACCCCGCTGTCGTTCTGTCCCTGCTTGTAATTTTGATATGAAATTCTTCCATTTCATCTTTTTTTTTTGCGAGTGAATTTTTTGTTGAAACTGCGCCAAGTTTTTGTGCATGTTCCAAACGCGAAGCTGCGACGCAGATGTACCGTACATACATATTTACATATATACACTCGTATGTATACATATCTACATGTAATATTGATGTACTGTGTACTCTGGGTGCTGTGGTTGTTGCTGTTGCGAGGCATTTCTTACGCTTCAAATCACTTCATGTGCAATTTGGTACAGCACACACACACCGAGTCTTTTCCTCTCCACTTCTCTACACCTCTCATTATTTCCCTTTCCTCTTTTTTTTAGAGCGTACAAATTCCCAGCATAACTTGATGTATGTACTGTGTACGAGTACATATATGCAGATGTACATACATAAATACAAATGTTTTGCCAGCAGCAGCAGCAGCAGCAGCAGCAAAAAATCATTCCCGGGGGATACCAAAAATATTTTGCGCAGACCAACGCAATGACTGCCAAAAGCTTCTTCCTCGCTGACGCAGCTTCCCCCTTCCTTGGCTGAGGAGTGGTATTTTGTTTGTATTTTTTATGAAATTATGCACACTAATTCCCCATGTAACGGTGTCTCGAGAGTCCACCTCAGACGGAGAGAGACAGCAAGAGCAAGAGTACATATATTCGTAGTAGTCGCCGTCCCTGAGTCAGGAACTAACGAAATGCGCATAATTTTTGGGTAGATCTTCTGCACTTAACATTTGACAGGACACTAGCCACAGAGCACTAACCACAAAAAGCTCCCGACATTGTTGGGACCAATTTGAATTTCTCTACAGCAGCTGCAGAGTTCTGTCCAGAATCCTCTCTCCTGCTGGCAAAGGGTGATTAAGGCACTCGGCACACGGCACACGGCACTCCCTCCGCCCAACTATGATATTTATAAATGCAAATTGCTGGATTGGTGGATAGAACAGACTTTTAAGTGGGAGAGACCTGCACCGCATAAAAAGGAATATTTTCATAGTTTTGCGGCGGTGTAAGTTCTACTGCAAGTTTTTTCAGGTTCTTCTTGTCCGAAATGTTTTGCATTTTAGATGCCCAACATAGGAATATGACATAATGTTCCTATTACTCTGAAAAGTCCTTAAATGTACTCGCAATAACAGATTTCGTACGAAAATCTTCTTTAAGAGTAAAGCAAATCTTTGATGTTATTTGATTTCTAGCCGATATCCATTCCCATTAAACCATCAAAAGGTTCAATCAACTGTCCATATGCCCGCATCAGCGATAACACAAATTAGAAATTACAAATGCCACCTCTCTGTGTCCTCTTCGTGGCACTTGGGCTCCTTCGTTGTCTCTGGCAATATGCAAATTGCTCCACAGGTATGACAATGGAACCAACATTGAAAGCCAGTCACGGCTGCGAGTCCTGCCGTGCCCTGCCCGTAGGGGTCCTGTCGGGGACAACCGCAGCGATAACCCGTAAAAGGCTGCACACAATCACGGACCGCAAGAAAAGCGAAGCCGCAGGAGCAGGGCAACAGCTGGGACAACAATGACAGCGCCTTCGGTCGCACAATGGAGACAACGCAGGAGACTCAGCCTCAGACTCAGACTCTGGGAAGGGGAGCTACGACGGGAAGAAGTGTCCGAGAGTGCAATGAAATAATAGCTTCCCGTTACAAGAAAACGGCATTCTCATGGTGCATTTGCAGACACAAAAAAATGGAAAATATCTGCCATCATCTCGCTCTCTACCTCTCTCTGTGTGTGTTTTCTCTGTCTAGTAGGATGTCAGCTATCATTTTATTTTAACTCTCAACTCATTATCAATCATACGCACTGTCGTCTGTCGACTCCTTCTTTACTTTTTAATGACTTTTCTCTCGATGGGCTGACGGGGAAAGGCAGCAAAAGGAGGCGGAAGAAGAACGACGGCAGCAGCAGCATAACTAGTTTTCTTTTAATTAACTCCGACATATAAATGCCAATGTCTGGGATCTGGGAAAACCGGTTTGCTTTCTAATTTTCCTTTAGTTTCCCATTGCAGAAGAGTGTCGTGAATCCATCTGTGTGTGTGTGTGTGTGAGAGAAAGATTTCTTTCTAATTTCCTGCCACACGACATAACGATGACAAAAACAATGCCACAAATCACAAAACGATTCTCCAACCCATTTGCCATTCATCTTTACTCCCTTTTTCTATCCATCTTAACTCCTCTTTTGTCTCTATCAAAGCTGCTGTTCATTTGAAATCTTAAACACATTTCCATTCTCAATTTCAATCAAATATTCTATCAGAAGTTTCAGTTATGTTCAGGCACAGCTAGGGGGAGCTGGCCGGAGGCGAAAGTTATGTTTTAATCAAAAATATAAAACTGTTGCCTACTTTTCCTACTATTTTTCTCATAACTTGAAAAAGTTCCTCAATCTCCACGTGCGCCACAGCTTTTGTCAACGATTTCTCTATCTTCCATTCAATGGCAGGAGGAGTATCTTCGTTTCTCGTTTCGGGGACAACTTTTTCAATTGAATTTCAATTTTTTGTGTGGGCCTCTCCTGGAGACAATAAATGCTAAATGCTGTACGTGACACGTACACAGAGCCACCACATGAGGCAGCACAGAGGCTGAGACACCTTATGGCCTTAAAAATGCTGTCATGCGTGGAGAGGAAAAAGAGAGGCAGCAGGCAGGAGCCACGGAGCCAACGGAGACTTTGTTGATGCCGCTGACTTCTTTATACGTCAATTTCATTGCGATGAGTTTTCCTTCCATTTATGGTTGCAAAATGAGGTGGGTCTCCCCAAGAACAAACATCAACAGCAGTAGACAGGAGGCTAGCGCACAGAGGCTCCTCCTGCCACAGCCACAGTCTCTCCTCTTGCCAACTCGTGTCAAGTTGTGGCAAAGTCAACCGCATCATCATCATCATCACCATTGTTTTCTCCTCCAGTTCGTCCAGGCACCCACCGCCGTTCATTGTCGTCAGCAAACATTTTTGTAACAGTGTTCCTCCCACCTGGCTCCTGTTTCTCTCCCTGTCAGGGATATGTATCTTTCGTATCCCCCTATCAGAAATTACTGTAAAAACAGGGCTTAATTTTCAAAATGAATTATGCACATGTGCAGCAGCCAGAAGCATCTGATGTCCAGAGGGATATGCTGACCCCCGCCACCGCCACAGGAAGGGCTGTGACAGCAAAGAGAACGAGACAGAAAACTCATTAAATTGCATAATTATGTATACACACACACACACACACACACACACACACTGCCTTTACTTCTGCCCACATATTCTGCCACAAATATTAATATTAATAACATAAAAACACTCTCAAACGAAAGTTTCAAAGCTCGAAAATGGTCAAGGGTTACGACGGTGGCCCCTGCCTTTTGTGCCTATTCGTGGCTGTCCCTTGACTGCACTTGATAGCATTTCCTGGCCTTCTTCTATTTTCTCCTTGGGTCATCATAATTTGATTTATGATGCGGTACCCAGCCCAGCCCACAGTCGCACATCCCTGGGGTGGGACTTTATAGGTATTTTTGAAAGGCTTTCTTTTGCTTCCATTTCAAGTTGTGCTGCTGCGAAATGTGGCAGAAATATTTAATTGGCTCGCAAAAGAGCCAGGCGCAGCCCGAAATTATAGCATACTTCTGTGGGTTGCGAGGAGCAGAAAGCCAGAGGCTGTGGAGCAGCAGTGGAGCCATTGTCGAGGCATGGCGTGGCGAGGCGAGTTCCATATTAATTTGTGTCAAATAAGTGAAACGCAATTAAACGCACATGTCAGCGCATGGCAAACGGCCAATAGCCAGAAGGAGGCTGGAGGCTGGTGGCTGAAGGCAATAGGCAGTGGGAGGAGTGCCAAAAACAGCACATCCTTGGCCCCAACGCAACAATCGATACACAAACAAAGCTCCAGCTGCCTGCCAGCCAGCCTCCTGCCACAACAATAACCGGAAAGCATATGAGCATGGCCCAGTGGAATCCCTTAATATGATGACCTATTAAAATGACTCCATGCCACAATAATACTCGGAGGAGGGGCATGGGGCATACCACAATACCCAATATTTCCTCATAGTTCTCGTTACAGTTGGGTGGAGAGGGGGCTCTGAGCATCTTCTGCCCTGCCCCCTGCGAGCTATTGAATGGTAAAATGATATTCCCCTCTCTTGAGCGACCGCCATGATAAAGCAATTATTCGGCATCAAGAGGGGCGATATACGTATAGGTGCGTGTGTGCATGTGTGCGTGTGAGGGAAAACTCTGTCTAGAAATTGGTTTTGATTTCCTTTTGATTGTGTCACACAACACACAACAGCAACAGCAGCACCTCCACACACCCTAGAAATAGTTGGAGGGAAATCCCCCAATTTAATTTCCAATTACTTTGGCTTATGGCTCGGCTCTCCCACAGCTACGTTCCCTTCTCTAGTGTAGATTTTATGAGGATTCATATCCATTTAATAACTAAACTAAATTTCGGGATTAATAAATAA